TCCCGTGCAGTTCTTCATTTGGCAGCATTCGAGGTGTCGTTGGTCATTGCAGCTGAGGAAAAATTGCAGAGCTTGTGGCTGGTTCGTAGCCATCTGTGAGCTACTGATTGGCCGCTTAGGTGTCAAAACTAGCTAGACAATTTTAGATGACTAAAACTACTATGGGCACCTGTAGGTAGGTGTGAATAATCTAACCCGGTTGTTAGATATTTGTCATTTGGGTAAGTATTGTATTGTCGGAAGCCAGTTGTCGTACGCAGAACTTGTTGGATGCAACTAGTGGAGTTTTTCGCTTTTTGAGACTTGAGAGAGAGAGAGAGAGAGAGGGGGAGAGAGAGAGAGAGAGAGAGAGGTGGAGTTGTGTAGCTGGCTCGGCGGTTCCATTGATTGTTTAACTGTGTATGGTTTAACCAGTCATTAGATAATTTTCATTGGAGTACGTACACGGCATTCTATTCCTTTTCTTTTTTACTTTGCACAGTAGGTTGTCTTGAAGTCATTTTTTACAGAAAAACTTCTTGGCAGCACAAGAAACACCATAGTTTGACCATGTTTATAAATAACACCATCATTCACAATACCAAACTAGCATCATTAGATCAATCGTGTAATAAAATTTTCATATTATAATTATTAGTTATTGCTAACATTTTTAATACAAAATTAATAAAAAAATACAAAATTTTAATAAAGATAAAATTAATATGCAGAGCAAAAGTAAATGGAGGTGCACACAAAATGTTGGGTGCTACACATAGAGTAGAGGGAATATGCTCATGTCTACCAAGAACTAGTATTTGTCTTGCCTGATTAGAAATTATATTGCGTAAGTTTTGATTCAAATGATCATGTGGAGGACAAACAAGATAAGCACGATTTTAGTCTCCACTCAACAAATGCACTATCCTCCTCTACACGTGGCATAGAATATATGTACAATCTGGACTATACGGTTGTTATCCATCATCTTTATAAGTAGTGTCAAATTGTCTAAGAACATCCAGATGGTCAAGATATACAAATGTCAACTAAGGAGAACAAAAATTCAATCATGTAGCAAATTAATCTACCACATATGACATTTTAAAGAGAAAGTACTACACACGGCGCACTCAAAGATAGGTACCTGAAGTTGCAACAATATTGTTCGACGTAAACATTTAAGTCAACATACATGATAGTTAAAGTACAAAATGTTTGCACTTGAGACATGCTAAATAATTAAAAGTTTGTACGACAATCAATAGAAAATTACAACATAACACAACAATTATTTCATCTTAAAAATAGTATTTGATTAGTTGAGAGCTTGACTTGTCTATGTTCAAATTATATGCTATTGTTGTCATTCAAGATTGGATAAGATTATCTGAGTCTACATTAATAATGGTTCCAATTTTTAGTGATTATGTTTCTAGGATCTATAGGTGAGGAGATTAACAATATGTAGCTTGAATTGTTTAAGGAAGAGGCGGCTATGGTAGGGGTAGGGGCTAGTAAGTCGCACCATATTCCTCCTTATTATAACTTTGTTGCTAGTCCATACAGTGACTTTATCCAGCCAACGCTTTTCGGTATCCTACTCGAGTCGAAGCCCCACGTCTTTGTGTGGCGCTTTCATGTCGGCAAAAAGCGATTCATTCAAGCTCCATGAGCGTGTAAGTCGTTACCTGGTAACAGTTGTTTTGTTAAAAAAAATAGAACATAACACACCTAATATTTTGTTCTAAAACTGAAATATGATGTTGTGTTTTGATTTGAAGAAAATTGAACTAATATAAAGAAGCGGCATGTTTAATTATTATTCACTACTCTATTTTTAAAGCTCGTCAGGTGTCACACAATTTATGAAATAAAATAAAGTTGCCACATTAACACAACAATGATAACAGTTAACACAAGCTACACTTTTTCCTATGAAATGAGTACAAAGTACAATAAAATAGGCCAGAAAAGTTTGGCAGAAGAGCGTAGAAGTTACAGCAATATAAACACAAAAGTGTAGCTGCAAATAAAACAAAAGGGTGAAACAACAAGAAAATATTAAATTAAACTTTTGGGGAGAACATTCATTTTTTTTTGTCTCTCAAATTGTGGTTCAGGTTCAAGTTTAAATCCATTTCATTCTAAATCAATCTAGTAACTCTACGCTTATATACTACTCCTATTAGATTTTAGATAACTTTTAGTTCGTTTATTTTCTACCAGCTGGACAAAATACACCACAAAATCGGGTTGCATTTGATACATCGATGCATGACATACATTCTTAAGCTTCTAGCGGGTTTGGTATGTTATCTCTCGATTGTAGTGAAACTTGGTTTTGAGGAGGCTCTCTTCCCCTCCTTTCCCTCTATTTCCCCCTTTTCATTGGGAGCTCCCTAACTTTCCCTGACTCCCCTCCCCTCTTCCTTCGGTGGTGGTGTCACTTGGAGCGAGGATGGGAGAGGAGCTCGGGTTGCTCTTGTAGGTTGTAGGAGTAGCGTAGTATGGGCCTTGGTGCCGATTGTCACCCTTGTGTGGGTGTGTGGCCTCATGTCGTTGCCATGCGAGAAGCCACCATGTGCTCAGCCATGTCTGCTTGCGTACAACACCTCGTGGTCACCGACGTCGCCATCGCTAGATCCTCCATTACCGAGACAAGGGGACGGGGCAGATGTGGTGTCATCCCGTTCAATAAGCCCACGGTGGCGACAATCCATATTGTTGTAGCTTCTCTTCCTCGTTCCTAATGGCCAATCGCCAAATTTGCGGAGAGGGGCATGGTGGAAGATTTTGCAGCGGCGTGCTTTGTCGCTGCCTTGCCTCGTTGGATTCTGGCTTCTGGCAAGGGTGGCTCCGCTCTATGATCCGAAAAAGGGATCATCGTCTTCAGCCGCTGCTTACATGCTCAAGATGGAGAAGAAGCGGCCAAGACCAGGAGGTGATGCACATGGGGGTTGTGAGTTTCATCGATGGTGGATCTGAAAGGGTTACATCACCTATCGGCTGTTGGCCTTCCCCAACGAGTCGTTGTTCTTTCTGGTCTAAAGACAACCATGTTGCTATAAATAGTAGCATTCTAGGGTAGAGTCCATGACATAATGTGATGGAGGTCTTGCCGAACCAAGTTGTTTTGTCTTGATGGTTTTTAAGCAAATCAAACCGCTTTCTAATCACGTGCTTCAAAAGAGAATTGAACCCAGGTCATAGGGGTTAGAGGCCGAGGGGCTTAAACCTAGCCCAATAGCAAACTGAGCTAGACTTGTTTGTTGTCTTTACTAAACAAATATTTATATCTTAGCTATATTATATACAAAACAAAATTGTACCTTGAATCGGCACCGAACCAGACGAGATGAGCCTACGGTCCTACCGGTGAAAACGTGAACTGTGAGCCTCGCTGGTCCGAAAAACTATGACTAGTAGTTATATGTTCAAAGGTAAGCCAAAAAAAGACGAGAGGATGTCGACGTCTTGATCTCTCTGCTAGGCGACCCTTTTGCTCGGGAATTAAATATACCAGAAATTCACAAGCCATGGAATATGAATTTGTACGTATGTATGAAAGAAGATGGGCAATGCTAACGCCCACACGTGTGGTGAAAGCGAAATTCGCATACACGTTCTATAACACACAGACTACCACGTCACCGCATGCATGCATGTGGGAATCTTTTTAATTTTTAGTTTTTAAGATGTTTTATCTCTTAAATGAAAAATTCGATTGAAAATCCGTTTCCACCATTAAATTCCTCGCGACTGGATCTTCGAAACTAGATCTCATATCAATATATTTTGATGAAATTTTTTTGAAGGTTAAAAGCTGCCATGTCTATTGCATATGAATTGTCATGGTGTTTACAATGAAGTTATCATGATATATTTCAGCTATTTTCTTCTACACTTAAAAGTAAATTTTGACATATTATAAAACAAGAAATTAAGAAACTAGGCTTGCCATGAACCATAAACTAAAATTGACATAATACATGCACTTAAAATTGCCATGGTTATAATTTTCATGGGCAAACTACTGAAATTGCCATCATCAAAATACTAAAATTGCCATGCTCTACAAACTAAAATTGCCACGTGGCAACTTTAGTTGAAGCACTATGACAACTACAGTGTAAACATCATGGCATATAAAATTGCCATATTATAATTTTGACATATTATAAAACAGGAAATTAGGAAACTAGACTTGCCATGAACCATAAACTAAAATTGCCATGACACATGCACTTAAAATCGCCATGGTTCATACAAAAAATAATTTTCATAGGCAAACTACTGGAATTGTCATCATCAAAATACTAAAATTGCCACGTGGCAACTTTAGTTTAAGCACTATGACAACTACAGTGTAAACATCATGACAACTTTTAGGTAAAAAAAAACGTAATCGAAATATATCAACATGGGGTCTAGTTTTGAAGATCTCGTCGAGACGATTTAATGGTGAAAATGAATTTTTAATTAGATTTTATAATTAGGAGATAAAATATTTTTAAACCAAAAACTAAAAAGATTCATTTTGATGTCATCTGTTTTGATGTGACAAAATGAGTGGTAATAAAGGTGTGTGGGCGATGTGTAAGATGTCACACGTGTGGGCGTTAGTTTTTTCAAAGAAGATCAAGACAACCTATGAAGAAGACAAGATGTTATCAGTTATCTCGAGGTTGGCAAGCGGAGAACCGTATACAAAAGAACTGTTTATTATTTTCATATTATTTTTGACTATTTACATCTACATCCTTCTTAAAGAATTCAAAGAATATACACACCGAGAGAAACGCAGTAGGGGGAGACAAGGCCTCCATTGGCCAAGAAAAACCTCATAATTTTGGGGAGCATCATCGAACAGATCGGCTTGCTCTCATGCCCACACACATCGAGCGTTCGACTCTCGCCATCACAATTTGTACTCCAACCTAACCCCAAAGTAAGCGCAAGGGGCAAAAAAAGGCTAGCTTGACTAAATCGAGACGTAATAACAAACGAATTATAATTATCTAATCTACGGTGGACCAGCTCCTGAGCAGCGACGGCCTGGCGAACATCTGCTCGAGCGCCACCACCACGGCCATGGCGAGCGACACGCCGACTCCGGGCTGCACCACTAGCCGGAAAACATCAGTCCCGACAACCTCCTTCGGCCTGATCTCCGCCACCGCGCGCCGCTCTCCGTCGTACACCACGCAGCTCCGCCGCGCGTAGGACCCCTCCACCTCGTACGACGGCCCGGCTCCGGCGCCCGCGCACGCCGTCACGTGCGCCAACGTCTTGCCGCGGCCGCTGCGCCTGACTGTGTACACGGGCCGCCGCGTCTCCTCGCCGGCGAACACCAACCACTGCTCGCCCTGCAGGCTGAACCGCTTACGGCGGACGGTGAAGTTGGGGCGGCCGGCCGCGTCCATGAGGACGACCTCGTCGCCGCTCTCGGAGGCGTAGCTGTCGACGCGGTAGGCCAGGTTGCCCTTGGCGTCGAACACCGTGAACCCCTTGCAGTCGAATAGCAGCGACTTGCGCCACACCGTCAGCGTCGTGGGCCCCTCCGCGGAGCTGGCCGGCGCGCACGGCGCCTCGTCGACGGCGCCCGGCGCGGGCGCCATGCTGGGGTGAACCTTCGCCATGTGTAGTATCGATATCAGGGTCCAAGGAGCTGAGAGCGGACAGGCGGTAGCTGGGTAGTCTGAGCTAATTGAGCTTGGTCGGCCTGTTGGTTGGTTCTGAGAGAGGAGTCTGTGGTAGGCTGTAGTTATATACAAGTCCAGCTCGCTCCATGATGGTCCGGCCAGGCGGGAGAAACTGTCCACCGGCAAAGAAGGCAAAGGCATGTTGCTCTGACGTGCGTAGGGACGCAAGTGACATGGGCTGCTGCTTAACGACCTCTTCCTCAGTTAATTAATAATCTTATCATGGATTGTTTGCTACTACTGGCTAGCCATAGTGAGGTAACTTAGATAATAACTTAACACACCCTAAAACAATTTTGCTTATGTGACAAGTATTTAATAAGGAGAGAGGTGTTTGAAATAACATAAGGCTGGTTGTAATGAGGAGTATCATATACTAGTATCATGCATATGATACTATGTCTATGATACTACATCCCTAATGCATAGTATCATATGTTGGTATTATAAAGGACTATATTTATTGCCATGCATGACATAAAGTAGCACATCATTTAATATGATACGGTATCATGATATGATACTCAAGCCTCTCTTTCTTCATTTAATTCTATGCCACCTCATCAAAATTGCTTAGTTGGCATGCATGATACTACCTATGATACTCCCATTACGGGCAGCCTAATATGTTACTGTAACATAGCGCTTTCCAAGGTAAAATTAGTCTATAAGACAATAAATAAAACAATTTATGACACTACTATTAAGATACTAACTTAGACTAATATCATATGCATGACACTAATATAAGGTACTCCCCACTATGACCAGCCTAATAAATTCGGCTGACGCAAAGACCGAAGTTACCCAAGAACTTGAGAATGCTGCTGCATAATATTGTAGTCAATAAATTAGGAGGAATCATCTGCCAGTAGACAGATCACAGAGTACTGCTGCTTTTCTTCCATCAACAACTCTTGTTTTTTGAACGGACTCCAGATCAAGCTCGTTCGATCGTAGCTATCCAGAGAAACAGCGCGACGTTTTGTGCAGGCATGCGGCGCCTGACAGATTAAACGTCGACTCACGATCAAATCGTCGACGCGTGATCTGGACACAAACTATTCACTACTACTGAGTATATCCATGCACACGCACAGCACTACCACTATGAACGCAGATCCCTAATCCGACACGCGGCAGGAGGCGAGGCTTCGGGCGGGCTAGCAATAGCACCCCAGCAAGAAGCAGCGGCTAGCTCTAGTGCGTCGAGTCATCTGGTTATAGGCGGCAAAAATCAATTCCATACCGATAGGCGATAACGCTCCGTTCCGTCGGCGCAAGCACGGACGACACGGTGATTGCCCGGTTAATCAACAGCGGAAGCAACGCAGCTGGAACGCGATTAACGAAGCATCCGCGCGTGCTGCTGATGTTATCTTCCAGGATTAACTAATAACTAGCTCCACTTTAGCTTTAGCTAGTTACGATCATGTCTTGAGAATGTCATAGAATTAGAATATCTTGTTTAACATGATTGATGATAAAATATATGATGGTATAACACAATGATCAATTTGTCTCAAATGTAAGATCCGTATAGGCAACAATGGTGAGATCATCATATGCTTAGTTTGGCACCACAATTTTGGTCAAATGCCTTCAAAACTTAGTTATACGGTGCAGTTTTCTTGGGATCATCCTGAGATTCGTCTTTTGTTATTTGGACTTCAAAAAACGTAGAGAAAATTGTGCATTGAAGGAGGTTCAAACCCACCCGCAACTTCAAACCTACTATCGTAGTGCACCACAAACTAGAGTAAAATATGTTTGTGTAATAAAATGATATAAAGTTTGTATTTGCATGAAAAGAGTTTTGATTATTTCTTCTGTCATATTTTTTGAGTTTGTATTTATTTTTGTTTATTAGGCATTTGTCAATTTCCTAATGTGTGTAACTTCAGAATTATTAAAGTGTAACCGAAGAAGATGTGTTATTGAAATTTATATTTGTGCATTTTTAATGAAATGTTGGGTTAAATATGTGCATTTTTGTAGTTTGCACATTTGAAGCATGAAATTGTCCATAATTGTTTACGTGCAAAGGTGGTTTTTACATTTTTAAGCTTAAAAACGCACATGAATATTTGTGTTTTTGCAAGTTTGGGAGTCAAAATATTCAAGTAGATAGTTTGCGCATTCCGAAGCTTGAAATTATACACAATTGTAACTATTTACAATTTTGGGAATCAAAATGTTGATTTCAGTAGTCTGCGTTTTTTTTTGAAAGATCCAGCATCGCTGGCATTCATTGATAATAACAGGAAGCAACGAAAAACAAGAGGGTGGTGAAGGTCCTACGACCCGAGGATCCGAAGATCAAAGGAAAAAAGAAAAACAACAGCCCTAAAAGCTGCAGCACAACACTCTATACAATCCAAATTAGGCAGCGCAACTCTGACTTCAACGGTGAGACTACTAAGGAAACTACTCAGGGATGACGTAACGGAGGATTTTTGACAATGTCGCTAGCTCGGCTGACAGGGTTCAGGACCTGGTAATACAGGATATCCACACATGGAGGGCAGTAGGATGCATTTGTGACCTGACGACGTGATTTAGCTGGCCTTCTTGGTCGGCTTGTAGAGTCAGATGCTTCCTGTGTGGTCGAGCTGGGGTGCCGGCTGTATTGTTGTAGTTACAGGTCTAGTTCTCCTAGACTGTAACCTTGTACTTTCTCTTTTCCCATCTAATAAAATACGGCCAATGGCCCTTCGAGACGACGTCACGGAGGATCGCCGAACAAACCACCTGCCACAGTAGTCTGCGTATTTTGAAGCATGAATTAGCTAAAACTGTTTTGTAGAATTTTATTTTTTAGAAACGAAGCCTATTGCACTTTTTTTTGGTAATTTTATGTTTAGAAATAAGCAAAAGAATATAGGAGGCTCGCACAGTATAAATGTGTACCTAAATTTGCATGCGCTCAACCCAACAAATAAAACATTTTTGGTTTAGCGACTAAGTGAGATGACTCCTTACTTATCTTACTGATATCTTGCCGGTTAAAAAAACTTATTGATACCTTCTCTTCTATCAAAAAAGAAAAAAGAAAAACTAATGAACGACCGTATCTATGTAACAGGGTAAATCAAGAAAATCCGGCAGAAAAGTGTAATTCAAGAAAAGAGCAATAGCAGGAATCAACAGAAGCAACATAGAAACACGATTAACGAAGCAGCGGCGCATGCTGCTGATGTTATCTTTCAGGATTAACTATCGACCAGCTCTGCTTTAATTAGTCACGATCAGGCCTACTACCGTGACGAGGTTGATAGTTAGCTAGTGGGCTTGTTGGTACCGTGCAATTCTTCATTCGGTAGCATTCGAGGTGTCGTTGAACATTGCAGCTGAGGCAAAAAGTAGACCTTGTGGCTGGCCCGGAGCCATCTGTGGGCTACTGATTGGCCGTCTAGATGTCAAAACTAACTACTGTTTTATACAGTAGATGACTACAACTACTAGGGGCACATGTATGTACATGTGAATAATTTAACCGGTCATTACATATTTTGTCATTTGGGTAAGTATTGTCGGAAGCCAGCTGACGTACGCAGAGAATGCAATAAGTGGAGTTTTTTCTTTTTTGATAGAGAGACAGGTGGAGTTGCGGAGTTGGCTCCGTGGTTCCATTGATTGTTTAAGTGTGTATAGTTTAATCAGTCATTAGATAAATTTCACTAGAGTACATACATGGTACTCCATCTGTCTTTTTTATTTTGCACAGTAGATTATCTTAAGTCATATTTTTTTACATGAAATACTTTTGATCTATGCATCATCTGTCATGTTAGTACAGGAAACATCATAGTTTGACCATGTTTATGAAAATACCATCATTGAAAATATCAAATTATTATCATCAGATCAATCATGTAGCTTATTTTTCATATTGCATTTTTATTTGGTACTGTAGATGTTGACATTTTTAATATAAAGTTAATAAAACTGTTCAAATATTGAATTATGACCAAATTAATATGTGGAGCTAAAGTAAACGGTGGTAGTACCATACACACAACATGTTGGGTGCTACACATGGAGTAGAGGGAATATGCTCATGTCAATCAAGAAGTAGTATCGGGTTGCTTGATTAGAAATTATATTACGTAAGTTTTGATTCAAATGGTCATGTGGAGGACAAACAAGATAAGCACAATTTTTAACTTCCAACCAACAAATACACTATCCTCCCTGACACGTGGCATACAATATACTCTCTCCATATAGAAATACTTGTCAGAAAAATGGATGTATCTAGACGTATTTTAGTTTTGAATACATCCATTTTTATCCATTGCTCCAACAAGTATTTCCGGATGGAGGACGTATATACAGTCTGGACCATATGGTTGTTATCCATCATCTTTGTAAGTACTGTCAAATTGTCTAAGAACATCCAAATGGTCAAGATATACAAGCGTCAACTACGAAAAACAATAATGCAATCATATAGCAAATTAATGTGCCACATACGACATTTTAAAGAGAAAGTACTATGTACGACACACTAAAAGTTTGGTCCAAAATGTTTCAAGCCAGGTACCTGAAGTTGCAACAATATTGTTCAATGTAAACATTTAAGTCCACATACGGGATAGTCAAAGTACAATATGTTTGCACTTGAGAAATGCTAAATAATTAAAAGTTTTCTAAAATAGGTGATAAAAAATAAAACATAACACACCAATTATTTCATCTTAAAAATAGTATTTGATTAGTTGACATCGTTATTTGTCTATGTCAATATTATATGTTGTTTTTCTCATCGAGATTGGATAAGATTATCTAAGCCTACATCAATAATGGTTCCAATGTATATAGTGATTATGTTTCTATGATCTATAGGTGAGGATATTAACAATATGTATCTCGAATTTTTGAAGGAAGAGGCAGCTGTGGTAGGGGCTAATAAGTCGCACCATATTCTTCCTTAT